CAGTGTGCGGAAGGAGGGCACGGGGCCGCGGTCCCGTTAGAGGAGAGGCGCGGGACGCGTTCGACTCCCCTCGCGCACGCCGCGGCCGAATGATGCGTCGACGGCTGCCACAGCACAGCCCGTCCCCCACGAGTTCAAGTGTTGAGAGTTATTCATTCAAGGACTACGCACAACATAGACGTAGTTTACCTCAACTTCCCTCATATGACCCAATGCAATTTTAAACTTTGAATCACTGTACCCTTGAATATTACACTACCCGTACTGGATATAAATAACATATTACACTACAAGAATAATATTTAAGGTTTAGTATAATGCTAATAACTCATTTTCACCAAAAAATGTGGAAAAGCCCTTATTCTATTGAGCCCTTCAATTATTTAATAATTGAACATTTTCGAATCAATTCGTAATCAAGCAGTTGTTATTAGATGATACTAATACTTACCGAAGCCATTTTTAAACACACGAGTTAGTGATGTTTAATGTCGTGCAAGTATTGAGTTCTGTAGGACTGTCGAGTGTACTAAAAAAAAGTGGGAAAGGAAAATAAAGGTTAATGTAATGTTGTGAAGTGTGGGGCAGTGTAGAAAAAAATCACACTTTGAAAAAAAATAACAATATTAAGCAGTCATAAAATTTTAATTACTGTTATACAATTGTATTTATTATTATTATTATTATTAATACTGTTGTTATTATTGTATACTTTTTCGCATTCTAGTACGTAAGTAATATAGAAAAAGCCATGTACTGCTTCAACGAAAATCAGTGATTTTTGATAGAAAAATATTGTGTAGACAGAATCCACGTTTTGGGGGCATTTGACACCGACAAATCGGCTTAACGCAAGACGAGCGTCCTTCCGTCCGTCTGTCTGCCCCTCCGTCCGTCCGACTATCTCTCCGTCCATCTGACCGTCCGTGCCTTCGTCGATCTGTGAGCAACGCTGGCGGCTAAACCATGATCAGGACTTCACCAAAATTGATATTCCCCAATCGATCTTATTCATGTAGTCATGTGCCGGCCTCTGTCAGCCTGTGTACTTCACATGAAGCCTGAATAACATAACTTCAAATGGCTCCTAATTTTTGGATTAATTTTGTAACGGGTTTATAAGCAAAGTTCGCTTATAATAATGGCGCAAATCCGAGTTTTGTTGGATACTCTGAAGTTTTGAAAAATGAAAATGTTTAATGTTTTGCAGCGTCTTTTTTCAACTACAATGTGGAAGATAGACATGTATCGTCTGAATGAAATATGTTCTTCTAAAATATATATTTAAATGACGTCATATACAATTTTAAAAAATATTAGTAGCTTATTACCTGGGTAATTTTGTGATATAATAGCAATTTTAAAAAAAGTTTTCTTAAAAATTTTCCAATTTTTGTCTTTAACCTTTTTATCCGGGTAGTGATAAAAGTACTGAATAACATTAGACGTCATTTTGATGAATACTTTGATTTTTCAAAATTTACACATATGTAATTTTCTTTATATATCTTTCACATCGTCAATATTTATAGTACAAGCGGTTTCTATACATGACTACGTTTGTGAGCCCAAGAGCTTCCAGTTATTTCACATCAAGATAATCGAAAACTCAAAACTTTGCGTTCCTCGAATTTGCACCTTTTCAATAACACACGAATGATATTTTCTTAAAAAGAGATTTCAAATATTTTCTTTCCAAATTTTTTATGTTAGTGCAAAATGCCAGAATGATGACATAAATACCATTTGAATGATATCTTTTTAAAAATGTATGGGACATTTTTTGTTTAAACGAATGATTTCTTTCAAACTTATTTTCTTCATTGGTAGGTCAGCTCCATGAAATGTTTATAAATCCGTCTGTCTGTGTTTAAAAATCCCTCAATGAAATGTTTAAATATTTGAAGTATTTCGGACGTTAGACGTAATTTTATATGAATTTACATATGAACGTATAAATACATATTTATTAAACAGTACCCTCTTTCATAACAATGAACATAAAAATCATATTATGTACAGAAATATAAAAACTATCTGATACCTTCGACTATTTGACTTGTAAGATGAATGGTCCATGGCCAGTATGCATCACTGTACTGTTTTGAATGCCTTCGTATAGTGTTTAAGCACTATTAGGTTCCCCTTCTTTGTAGGGCATTATCTAGGAAATAGGCGTATAAAAATAGCATATCTTGTATAAAGAAATCTCTCACGTAAATTGTAAGCTCTTGTTGACATTTAACCATCTGCGTACGGACCTGAGAATATGTGTTTACACCTTGATAACAAAGTGACGTATTACAGTTTCACCTTTCGTCACCGTTGCTCGTTCTCAATTCATTTTTATTGTTGAGACCAAACAGGATGTAGAAAGTGTGTTCGACTTGCGTCAGACAAAGTAAATGTGAGGACTCTCCATAATAAAGAACTATTGGTAGTTACCAAAAAATAGCACAAAAGCTGTGCTAGTTTCATTTCTTGTTTTCTTTCTTTAATTTCGAAAATTGCAAAAAGTTAAGATTTTAGAACTTAAAAATTATAAGTAGTGATTTTTGCCTTAATCCAAATCCAATGTAAAAGAATGAGCTCTGTATAAAAGCTAACGCACAATTTTTTTTTGAAAAACTAGTAGTTTCACGGAATTTCTAACACAAAGTAATGTAAATTTTAAACATGGTTTTCTAAAAAACCGCTGAAATATTTTTCTTTGCATTTTTGCCACGGATGAAACAAAAGACGCTTCAAAGAATGGCATAAGTCTAATTTTCATACTCTGAATGCTCGAAAATTGCAAATTTAGAAATAATGTAGAAAGTAACGTGCTCTTTTAGACGCAGTACTTGGAATATGACTCTTCAACCATCATGTTTAGCTACTAATTTTTTTAGTTACTCATTTGTTTCGATGTTCTAAACAAACGGTCGATTTTGAAATCTTTCGTGGACGCCTTCCATTAACTGTGGCTTTTCGTTCCTCTGTTTTATTTTGTTAAGTCGATATAACAAACAGTACAGTATTAATAAATAACATAAATAAATTAAATAAGTACTAAACAAATGCTTTGAAGTGCCACTCGCCAAGTAGAGAACGTTCTTTTCGAGGAGAGGGAGAGCGTCTTTACAGCGCCATATATCTTTCGCCGCTGTGTTTAGTGACTTAGGCAGGGCCAATGATAAGGACAATTTCTCACGCTGCGGCCTGCGCCGAGAATCAGTCTCCTTCTGCTCTTCGGTTGGAGAGGAAAAGCTTCAAAAGGAGTTCAGAAGGAAATACCCGCACTTCAGGTAGGCGTTCTTTGAATTCCCACATTGTCTTATTCTCGGGATTACGATCGTCTGGAAGTAGGGTCTGGACATGTTCAAAGAACATCGACATTCTTTGGTGTCTGAGGAGGATTGGTGTCATGATCGTGGACTGTACAGAGCGATTTTAGAACTTAGGCTACACTCGAATACGTCGGGTTATAAAATTTACTAAGAATCTGTTGTATAAAACTAAATGTATGTGTAGCATGTACGTAGGTGAATGTGTGTGTTCGTGAGAATGTTCATAAGTGGGTCGTGTAAGTATACCTTGTGACCAACCTCAAAACGTTTAAACAGTTCACATCTGAAAACACATTTTCCGCCCGAAGTTACTGAATCACGGGATAAGTAATATATGCCGCAGAGGTATTGTTCTTTTTATTTTTAATTTCTGGGAAGTTTAATCATCTTTGAGAGCGTAGGCTTCCGCGGCCGGAGTCAGTATTTAATTGGCTGTCCGGGTGACGCCGCATCAATGGCGAAGGTGCCGACGTTTCGGTCATTACGGCATTACGCCCTGAGGTAGGTCGCAGAATGGCGACCGAAACGTTGGCACCATCGCCATCGATGCGGCGTCACCCGGACAGCCAATTAAATATTCAATCATCTTAGTCCTGTCGATCAAATCGAAAATTAAAAACAATTCGAACAATATCTCACCGGCATATTACATCCCCCATGATTATTATTTCGTGTTCATGGGCGAGTCAATTACTATAGTCATTGGTACAGTAAGCGTGGCTTATGTACTTTATCGCGTGGGACGTGGCGGAGATCTTCCTCTGCTGGATGATGCTATCCGACGCCGACCTACACGTCTACTCGAGGCTTTTTCCCAACCACGTATCTCAGCAGCGGGACACCGCCACAGCCTGTACAGGCTCTGAGCTCCCGACAGCACACCCAGCATATGTGGTGGTGTAGTGCACGTATGTGTAAGTAAGGGGTGAGGATAGGACAGCAAGAAGAGCATAGGAATATCGCGCAAGGTCAGTGGTCCGTTTGGTTGGGTACTGCTCTACTAAGGTTCTGTGGGCGTAATCGTGGTACATTGTGTTTGAGTGTGACAGAGACAAAGAGAGCGGATAGTGACATGGGTTAGGGGTGTAGTGTGTGTGTGAGAGAGAGAGAGAGAGAGAGAGAGAGAGAAAGAGAGAGAGAGAGAGCGCTCTGACTGTGTTGCAGGGGGTGTGAAGGGGCTTAAGGAGACGTGGGCGG